TTTTTTATTATTTCATTTAGTGTATTGCCTGCACGTATGTGAGTGCACCGTGCCGTGCAATGCCGTGGAGATCAGAAGAGGGCTTCGGATTCCCCTGGAACTGGAGTTAAGGACGGTTCATAGCTGCCATGTGGGTCCTGAGAATCGAACCTGGGTCCTCTGTAAGAGCAGTCAGTGCTCTTAATGACTGAGCCATCTCTCCAGCACCTCATTTGTTCTCTTTATCTTAGCCATTCTGACCGGAGTTAGATTAAAGTAGTTTTTATTTGCATTTCCCTAATTACTAAGAATGCTAAAGACTTTTTAAGATATTTCTTATCCATTGTTATTTCTTCTTTTGAGAGCTCTGTGTTCAGATCCGAAGCCCATCATTTAATTGATCATTTGTTTTCATGCTTCTTTGTTCTTTAAGTTCTTTGTACATTCTGGATATTAATTCTCTATCAGAGAGTACTTGGTGAAGATTTTCTCCCACTCTGTAGGCCTCCTCTTTACTCTATTGGTTGTTTCCTTTGCTGTACAGAAACGTTTTAATTTAATAAGATGCCATTTGTCAGTTATTGATCTCAATTCCTAAGAGACTGATGTCTGATTTGGAAAGTCCTTTCCTGCACCTACATCTTGTAGGGTACCGCCTATGTTTTCTTCTAACAGTTTCAGAGTTTCAGGCTTCACATTGACGTCTTTGATCCATTTGGAGTTGACTTTTATGTGGGGTGATAAGAACAGGCCTAATTTCCTTCTTCTACAGGTGGAGATCCAATTATGCCAACACCATTTGTCGAAGATGCTGTCTTTCCTCCAGTGTGCATTCTTGGCACCTTTGTCAAATATCAGGTAGCTGTAATCGTGTGCACAGGTTTGGATCTTCTATTTTGTTCTATTTTGATCTACAAGTCTGTTTTTATGCCAATACCATGTTGTTTTTGTGGCTATGGATCTGTAATATAGATTGAAATCTGGTATGGTAATCCCCCAGCATTGTTCTTTGTGCTCAGGATTGTTTTGGCTATCCGGGGTCTTTTTTGTCTCCTATGGGTTTTAGGATGGGTTTTTCTATTTTTCTGAAGAATGTCACAGGGATTTTGATTGAGATTACACTGAACCTTTAAAATGCTTGGTAGGATGATCATTTTCACTGTATTGATTCTACCAGTTCATGAGCATGGGAGGTGTTTCCCTCTTGTGGTGTCTTCCTCAATCTCTTTCTTCAAAGTTTTCATTGAATAGATCTTTAGTATCCTTAGTTAGATCTATCCTTAGATATTTTTGAGACTATTGTAAATGGAAATGTTTCCCTAAACTCATTCTATGATTGTTTCTATTTCTATATAGAAAGGCTACTGTTTTTTGTATGTTGATTTTATATCCTGCCACTTTGCTGAAAGTGTTGATCATTTCTAAAAGTTTAAGTTTTAGGATCTCTTATGTATATCATATCACATGCAAATAAAGATAATTTGATTTCTTTTTTAATTAGTACCTCTTTCATTTCCTTCTTTTGTCTTATTGCTCTAGCTAGAGTTTCAGGTACTATATTGAAAAGGAGTGGGGAGAGTGGACAGCCTTGTCTGTGTCCTGATTTTACTGGGAATGCTTGACATTCTCCATTTAGAATGATGTTAGCTCTTCATTTGTTGTATATAGCCTCAATTATGTTATCAAGTCCAATTCCCTCTAGGACTTTTATCATGATGCATGCTGGATTTTGCCAAAGGCCTTTACTGCATCTATTGAGATGGTTTTGTGATTTCGGCCTTTGAATCCATTTATATGACTCATTATTATATTTATTGACTTACATATATTGAACCATCCCTGCATCTCTAATAAAGCCAACTTGATCATGGTAGGTATGTGTTTGCATGTGGTTTGCAAGTATTTTGTTGAAAATTTTTGCATCTATTAGGGTTATGGGCCTGTAGTTTTGTGTGTGTGTCTTTGCCTGGTTTTGGCATTAGAGTAATACTGGAGTCATAGAAGGAGTTTGGGATTTCTCCCTCTGTTTCTACCGTTTTTGAAAAATTTAACAAGTATTGGTTGTAGATCTCCTTTGAAGGTCTGGTAAAATTCTACTGTGATTTCATCTGGGCCTGCACTTTATTTTTAGTTAGGAGGCTTTTATTACTGTTTTGATGTCCTTTTTGTTATGATCTGTTTAAAATATTGCTGTCTTCTTGGCTTAATTTTGGTGATATCCATGAATTTATAAATTTGTCCATTTCTTTTAGGTTTTCAAATTTAATAGAGTATAGGTTTTTTAAGTATTGCCTTATAATGTTCTGGATCTTTTGGATGTCTGTTATGATGTTTCCCCTTTTGTCTCTGATTTTGTTGATTTGGATTTGCTCTTTCCTTCTTTTGGTTAACTGGGCTAAGGACTCGTCTATCTTGTTTAGCTTTTCAAATAACCAGCTCTTATTGTCATTGATTCTTTATATTGTTTTCTTTGTTTCTATTTGGTTAATTTCTGCTCTGATTTTCCTTATTTCTTCTTGGTTTGTTCTCAACTTTCTAGAGTATTGAGTTGTACCATTAAGTCACTGATTTGTGCTTTTTCTGAGTTTTTAATGTAGGTGCTGAGAGCTATAAGCTTCCCTCTTAGGACTGCTGCGTTCCCAGAGGTTTTGTTGTATTGTATTATCATTTTCATTTAGTTCCATGAATATTTCTATTTTTTTCATGATTTCTTCTTTGACCCATTCATCATTCAGGTGTGTATTGTATAACCTCCATGAGTTCATGTAATTACTAGAGGTTTTTTTTTTTTACTATTGATTTTAAGCTTTACTGCACTGTGGTCTGACAGAATGCTTGGGATTACTTCAATGTTTTGTTTTGTTTTGTTTTGTTTTTTGAGGTTTGTTTTGTGTCCCAGTGTGTTTCGCTTTGTTTTCAGACTGGCTCTCATGTATCTCCCAGGTTGTTCTTAAACTTGGTTTGTAGCTGAGGGTGGACTTTAACTGTTGATCTGCCTTCCTCTGCTTTCTAGGCACTAGAATTGTAAATATGTGCCACCACACCTGCATCTACTTTTACTGTACTGCAATTCTTCATGTCTTTTCTCCGTATTTCATGAATGTCATGAATTTTACTACATTGAGAACATAAAAATATTCTTCTTTCTTACCTTATAAAAGTGTTGTAGTGTTCCCTTCTAAGTTGATATTTAATTATGCTGTAATCTATTAATATGTGAAATAATTATCTAAATCTTTACATGTCTTTTTCATTGGCGATCAAATATTATCAGCACCAAATAGCATGCTTCCGGACTTTCTCCTCACTTTAGTTGACACACTAAATTTCTGTGTGTGGGCAGGTGAATGTGTGTGTGGATTGGTGCACATGTATGCATGGGTGTGTATGCATGTGTGGAAGCCAGGAGACAACCTCGGGTGTCGTTTCTAAGGTGACATCCATCCATCTTCCTTTATATTTAACACGCTCTCTCACTGGTCTGGAACTTGCTAAGTAAGCTAGGCAGGCTGGCTAGTCATGGGTCTGCCTGTCTCTGCCTCCCTATTACTGAGATTAGAAGTGTGAGTTACCAAAAAAACTTTTTATGTGGACTCTGGGTATCAAACTCAGGTCCCTGTACTTTATTGACAGATATGCCTCTCTCCCCAGCATATTTAATTTCCGTACTGTTTTCATAATGTTCAAAGTAAGCCCTCTTAAGAATAGAAGCTTCTCCTTAACTCCTTCTGTTTTTGATATCTTTACTTTTGACTTATTGAACTGTTATATGAAACATAACTAATTTGTCAGCTTCCACAAAAGAGTAAGTCAGATAACCATTTTCTGAAACCATTGATAAGTTTAGACCCAAACTTGACCCTAATAACATTAAGACTGCGATCAGGATATAAATGTCGTGTTATTTTTTTTTGGTGGGGGGGGATTTGTTGTTGGGGTTTCTTTGGTTGTTGTTGTTGAGACAGGGTCTTCCTATAGCCCCAGTTGGTCCAGAACTCTCTATGTAGACCAGGCTGGTCTCAATCTCAGAGATCCACCTGCCTCTGCCTCTCAAGTGCTGGGATTAAAGGCATGTACCACCACACCTGGG